TGTCAATCTAAACGGCAGCACAATGGTATACCGGAAATTTTATAACTTTGCCTACTTAAATACAAGAAACCAGAGCAGATATTTTTGTTGGAACTAACAAGAAACAAAGCTGCGGAAGCTTAAAAAGTTGCATACCAAAGTAAAGAAATTTAAAACATTATGTCCAAAAAATTTAATGCTGTCACGAAAAAAGTAAAGAACGCTAAGAAAATTTTAAAGATCTTGATAAATATCTTTTAATTGCAAATAAATTTGGGATACATAAGGCACATAAAAATACATTATATTTAATGTTAAACTGTTTCATCGTGCAAAGATATAGATATTTTCGAAATAAAACAAATATCATATTTTACATCAACCAACAGTAGTGTATAGCCACAAAATAAACTTTCAAGAAATCATTAACATCACATTTGCTGTAATTATATTTGTTTTTGCTGGTAAACAATAAATACATAATTAAAAAAATTTTTGTACAACATTAGTTTCAATGACTTCCTTGATAATAAATAACGTACTTTATGTACACGAATCCACAAAAATTTTTTTAAATATTGAAATATCGTATGGCTTTCTTTACTGCACGTTAGTATTTTTTACTAAAAATATTCCTTACTAATTTTGTGCAAGTATTTTCCACTTACATTATTATCTAAACTTTTGCTCTTAAATCTACAAACATAGTCTTGTGCTTTTCTAGTTTATCGAAGGGAAAGTAAATTATGAGACTCGAGTACCTACATATGCACGCGTGACAAACGATTGCGCGTAGATAATTAGAGAGAGAGAAAAAGAGATAGAGAGAAATGGACGGAGCAAGCGAGTGGATAGGGAATTTTCTGTCGTCGCTGTGTAACCACGTATAAAAAGACATGCTTGCAAAGGAGTATGGAATTAAATAAATATAAACTTTTTTTATATTTTAACGCTTCTAAATATTTTTATATATTATTTTAACAATCCTGGACAATATATATTTGCAATGACTACCTGGTATAACCTCTTGAGTGTCTTTTGTCAGAGTTGGTACGGTGCATCAACCCGATCACACCAAAGGTCGCGCGGTGGCGACATCTAGTAAGCCATGAACACACCTACTGGCGGCTGTGCTTCGGCCGAGTTCTCTCTCTTGTGTGCTGACTCTCGAGCTGCTCGGTTGTCTCAGAGAGTTTTTCTTCTTCGTGTGTGCAACGGTTTGTCAACTCTGTGTTTTGCTTTGTTTTGCATTCATCAAAGTCTTTTTATTGTATTGTATTAAATAATAATAAGTTAGACAGAAAGCTAGAATAAACGGTTTGTATAAGTTAGAGAAGCTAGTAAATAAAGGTGTTGATATAATAAATAGTGCTGAGTGTTTTCTTTAAATAATAAGGAGCCTGCATCTTCCCGGTGGCTTATATAGAGTGAAATAAAACTCTAGCATCTTTTTTTTCTCATATTTTGTTACATACTTTTTTTCATGAACTTGCCTTTCCTCCATCCTCTTGAGACTCTATGTGCGTGGTATTATTTTTTTTTAGGTGGATTAGAAGGACTGTCATCCATTGTTTATAAATTAAATTATGTTAATGACATACAGATACTTAACACTATAGAGGTAGAGTAATAGCAGAAAGGCATGCAAACACGACATATATATACCTTATACCTATATATTACATCTCTATACTACACCAACACAGGTGGTGTACCACTGTACCCTCGTATGCACTTGACTGGTCAAAACAATAATTAATTTTTCGTAGAAAGTTAATCTACACACATAAATATTATTTTTCCCACTTCATACGTTATTAAAAATATATATTAAATAAATAATGATTTTCAGACACATTTGTTTATTGAAAAACAAAACTTTATTTTTTGTTTGTCTTTGACCTCAGCAGTAGTCGTAGGAGCCCCCTTAAGCTCTTAATTATATTCATTTAATAGTGAATTGAAGATCTCACAGGCACCTAATGAATATTATGGAGTGACCAAAATGTAATTTAAGTTTTTAGCATCTTCTTTGTAGACATTAATAAATGTCTTGTTGGCCAGTGTTAAGACGTACGAAATAAATCGCCGTCTTCCATAAGATTATGTGTTAAACTGGTGAGTGGTAAAATGCCCATGATTTTTTTCTTCTTACACACTGTAGGTCCACAAAAATTTAACTAGATCATTTTTGGGTACTTATAATCTCATGTATTTAATTTTATCGAAATCTTGTAGGTCAATCAATATACGACAGTATTACCTTAAGTATGCCCAAAATACCCTCAATGTCGTTGTTGTAACTGTACAATAACTTCAAGTAATCCCGAGATTATTGGAATTCATATTTATTAACAGATTACTACTGTCATTTACATCTCTAACTACTTGTACATACAACTGTTGTTCACATTGGAATGTATAAAACTGAATATTTCTTTTTAAATTATATTAATATTGATAAACATTTCAACAACGAGGTGAAAAGGATCTTGATAGCACTAATGTGTCTTTATCTCACAAAGAGCCATTGGTAAGATAAAGACGCTTCATCGTGACTGATAAAAGCTGCATAAAAAAATCAAGTTTTGATATTTATTTTACCTGTGACAATACAACAATACCACTGATTAAATGAATCATTTTGAAATCTCAACAAATAAGATAATTACAAAGCGTACGGAATTTTTTTATAATATAGTACTTCTGATGTTTATTGCTCAGCAGATTGAAAAACAAATTAATGACCATGAGATTAATACGAACAATTTTAAGATAAAAACTTGTCAATCTAAACGGCAGCACAATGGTATACCGGAAATTTTATAACTTTGCCTACTTAAATACAAGAAACCAGAGCAGATATTTTTGTTGGAACTAACAAGAAACAAAGCTGCGGAAGCTTAAAAAGTTGCATACCAAAGTAAAGAAATTTAAAACATTATGTCCAAAAAATTTAATGCTGTCACGAAAAAAGTAAAGAACGCTAAGAAAATTTTAAAGATCTTGATAAATATCTTTTAATTGCAAATAAATTTGGGATACATAAGGCACATAAAAATACATTATATTTAATGTTAAACTGTTTCATCGTGCAAAGATATAGATATTTTCGAAATAAAACAAATATCATATTTTACATCAACCAACAGTAGTGTATAGCCACAAAATAAACTTTCAAGAAATCATTAACATCACATTTGCTGTAATTATATTTGTTTTTGCTGGTAAACAATAAATACATAATTAAAAAAATTTTTGTACAACATTAGTTTCAATGACTTCCTTGATAATAAATAACGTACTTTATGTACACGAATCCACAAAAATTTTTTTAAATATTGAAATATCGTACGGCTTTCTTTACTGCACGTTAGTATTTTTTACTAAAAATATTCCTTACTAATTTTGTGCAAGTATTTTCCACTTACATTATTATCTAAACTTTTGCTCTTAAATCTACAAACATAGTCTTGTGCTTTTCTAGTTTATCGAAGGGAAAGTAAATTATGAGACTCGAGTACCTACATATGCACGCGTGACAAACGATTGCGCGTAGATAATTAGAGAGAGAGAAAAAGAGATAGAGAGAAATGGACGGAGCAAGCGAGTGGATAGGGAATTTTCTGTCGTCGCTGTGTAACCACGTATAAAAAGACATGCTTGCAATAAGATATGGACAGTCAAGAGGATACCCCTGCCGTGGCGGAAGATTCTTCTGCGCTCATTTGGNATAATGATTTTCAGACACATTTGTTTATTGAAAAACAAAACTTTATTTTTTGTTTGTCTTTGACCTCAGCAGTAGTCGTAGGAGCCCCCTTAAGCTCTTAATTATATTCATTTAATAGTGAATTGAAGATCTCACAGGCACCTAATGAATATTATGGAGTGACCAAAATGTAATTTAAGTTTTTAGCATCTTCTTTGTAGACATTAATAAATGTCTTGTTGGCCAGTGTTAAGACGTACGAAATAAATCGCCGTCTTCCATAAGATTATGTGTTAAACTGGTGAGTGGTAAAATGCCCATGATTTTTTTCTTCTTACACACTGTAGGTCCACAAAAATTTAACTAGATCATTTTTGGGTACTTATAATCTCATGTATTTAATTTTATCGAAATCTTGTAGGTCAATCAATATACGACAGTATTACCTTAAGTATGCCCAAAATACCCTCAATGTCGTTGTTGTAACTGTACAATAACTTCAAGTAATCCCGAGATTATTGGAATTCATATTTATTAACAGATTACTACTGTCATTTACATCTCTAACTACTTGTACATACAACTGTTGTTCACATTGGAATGTATAAAACTGAATATTTCTTTTTAAATTATATTAATATTGATAAACATTTCAACAACGAGGTGAAAAGGATCTTGATAGCACTAATGTGTCTTTATCTCACAAAGAGCCATTGGTAAGATAAAGACGCTTCATCGTGACTGATAAAAGCTGCATAAAAAAATCAAGTTTTGATATTTATTTTACCTGTGACAATACAACAATACCACTGATTAAATGAATCATTTTGAAATCTCAACAAATAAGATAATTACAAAGCGTACGGAATTTTTTTATAATATAGTACTTCTGATGTTTATTGCTCAGCAGATTGAAAAACAAATTAATGACCATGAGATTAATACGAACAATTTTAAGATAAAAACTTGTCAATCTAAACGGCAGCACAATGGTATACCGGAAATTTTATAACTTTGCCTACTTAAATACAAGAAACCAGAGCAGATATTTTTGTTGGAACTAACAAGAAACAAAGCTGCGGAAGCTTAAAAAGTTGCATACCAAAGTAAAGAAATTTAAAACATTATGTCCAAAAAATTTAATGCTGTCACGAAAAAAGTAAAGAACGCTAAGAAAATTTTAAAGATCTTGATAAATATCTTTTAATTGCAAATAAATTTGGGATACATAAGGCACATAAAAATACATTATATTTAATGTTAAACTGTTTCATCGTGCAAAGATATAGATATTTTCGAAATAAAACAAATATCATATTTTACATCAACCAACAGTAGTGTATAGCCACAAAATAAACTTTCAAGAAATCATTAACATCACATTTGCTGTAATTATATTTGTTTTTGCTGGTAAACAATAAATACATAATTAAAAAAATTTTTGTACAACATTAGTTTCAATGACTTCCTTGATAATAAATAACGTACTTTATGTACACGAATCCACAAAAATTTTTTTAAATATTGAAATATCGTACGGCTTTCTTTACTGCACGTTAGTATTTTTTACTAAAAATATTCCTTACTAATTTTGTGCAAGTATTTTCCACTTACATTATTATCTAAACTTTTGCTCTTAAATCTACAAACATAGTCTTGTGCTTTTCTAGTTTATCGAAGGGAAAGTAAATTATGAGACTCGAGTACCTACATATGCACGCGTGACAAACGATTGCGCGTAGATAATTAGAGAGAGAGAAAAAGAGATAGAGAGAAATGGACGGAGCAAGCGAGTGGATAGGGAATTTTCTGTCGTCGCTGTGTAACCACGTATAAAAAGACATGCTTGCAATAAGATATGGACAGTCAAGAGGATACCCCTGCCGTGGCGGAAGATTCTTCTGCGCTCATTTGGTTACAATACACACGCCGAGATAAGCAGTCCATGGTAGTTACTGCGTAGCTGCACTCTGCGTGGAAGGTGTACTAAAAAAAGAATAAAGTGGCTTAGGAAAAAAAAGTCAAGCAATGAACAACAACGTCAAGGAGTACATAGATGCCAATGACATACAGACTCGCGATGACACCGATCTTATTGAAGAGTTTAGTGACGAACTTGCAAAAATGACCGGCAAGTGCATCGACATCGGCTGCGGCCCTGCCTTGGTTGCGCGCAATCTTCTCATGCCCCGAATGCCAGCCGATGTTCACATAGTTGGTAAGTGGTATTTTTAATGTACGATTGGTTGTAAGGGACATATTTTTCTCATTATTGTTGACCAAGTGGACGTTTTCATTTGGTACCTGAATTTTTGGCAAACATCTTTGTTTCCTGCGGTTTACTGGGTAAAGAGGTGTCTTGAGACAAGACGCTGGTGCTTTGAGGAATCATTCAAGCAACAATTTAGGGTTATCCATTGAAGATTGAGGCAGAAAAAGTGTGACATTTTATCGTTGAAGTCTTTTTTCTACCCCAATTCTCAATGGATTACGAGAAACTTTGGTTGGAATAATTTCTCTGATTTTTGCATCTTCTCGTTATTTTATGTAAAAGTAGCAGTAAGTTTACTACTTAATAGAAATGTGTTAAGGTAATTCTATCAGTACCGTTGAAACTTCCGTTGATAGACTAAATGCTTTCAAGCGTTACACAAAATGAATTTTGTTTGATAAAATCTATTATTCATACTTATAAATATTTTTATATCATACTAAGCGTAAAGTTCGTACTGTTCTCCCTGTATTCGCTACGTGCACAAGCTATCGCAGCAATACCTGTGCTAATATGTGAAACTAAACGATATGTTTGTCTTCTACTAGCAGACTGCTAAGCATTACTATAATTAGAAAGTTATGTGTTTATACATCGACAACCATTCTAAGGGTTAAATTTTTAATAAAATTATGAGTAGTATGTACATATTTTACTCAGGCATGTTCATTAAAAAACGCAATGAAATACATTGGATACTGTGTATTTCTTAGAGTTTTTAGCTGGGGTCAGATCCTCTAAGCGTATCGTATGAACGTGTGTAGGTACATACTGTGTGAACACGCCGGTATTCGCTCCGAGCCGATGCAGAGGTTGCGCCCCCTCTAGCCAAAATCAGGCAAAACTTCTTGCATGTAAACAAACGGTTTAGAACATATATACATACGTACTTACAGCTGCTTGTANGTGTTTGCTGAAAAAGGACTCAAGGCATACAACGTTAACTATCCCATTATACATTTGTGTAAAAGTTTTTTTAAGCTTACACCAACTTTCATTAGGTTACGTATTAGTTAGGACCATTTGCTATGTAACGCATTAATTTTTTTCTTGTGACATTTATACATTTTTGTTATAAATATAAGTATTGTGGAATGTTTAACAAATACATTTTTATAAAAATGTCGTATTTAACATTATGAATGTAAAATAGAGTCATGGCAATATATGTAGGAAGGAAAGGTATAACTTTTTCTTGATGTTTTTATTTGCATCGATTTGCGCAATAATCACAATAAGTAAAAAATGTGTCAAACACTGTGATTGTAATAACTTTTCTACAGTATTGTTTAGCATTTCCAAAATGACCATGAATTATTATTTAATACTGTACACGTTTTATTTTATCTTTTTAGCTAGAAGCACAATTTCCCAGACACAAAGTTTTTTTTTTTTTTTTTTTTTTCTTGTCATTTTTATATCCTACAAGCAAAGGTCTACATATTTTTCAGACGTAAACTAATTGTTCTCAGCGATCTGCCGTAGGCTACCGGTCTCATAGGACCAGACAAGCGACACGGAATTCTTTCCTTGGATAAGAGAGTTGTATAAAATACTCATAAACCGGAAAACTCATGTAAGAAATGGTCATGTCTTGTTTTCTTTCTAGTGTAGCATATTTTTTGTACGACAATTGAAATAAGATGGTAATTTTACCATGGCTGTTTAGTAGTAAAAAACGGGACGAATAAGCTTCTTCCTTAGGTAGGTTACCATCGGGACGCTCGTGACTGTTTTTGAAACAACGAGATATTCTCCGTTGTCTGACTGATACGGACAGATGCATTTAAGTTCATTAAGAAATCAATTATTTTTAGATTCATTAAACTTCTTCCAATTTTTCTTGAATGAGTTACTTGTATAATAAACGCAAGAAGCAAATCTGCAAGATAAGAATTACAGGGTTTTTAAGCAATATTAGAGACGTTATCAAAACAAAAATAAATAATTTGTTTCACCAGCTTGTTTGATTTTGAAATATTATTCGTTATGTGATTGGTTCAAGCTGGAGTTACATGGTAATGATTCAAATAAAATTCGCGGCGTGTAAAAATAAAAAATTTTTGAGCTTCTACAGTAAATATTTTTTATTTTAATAAAGTGTAACAAAAATCACAGTTTTATTGAATCATCCTTGGTTTGGACAAAAAGTAAAACATACTATGAAAATGACGATAATGATTATATGGTAATGTTTTGGTTATAAGTGAATCATGTTAAACAATATTTTTTTATCACCGTAATAATAAACGTACCACTACGAAGTAGAAAACATGTTGTAATGATCAGTCGGTACTGTTTGTGAATTAAAAAACTAATTATTGAAATAAGAACTATTAAAAAATATGTGAATAATGGGCAATAGAAAATCTGTGATTGTGATACTGTTTTAGTGCAACTAAAGACGATTAAGGTAGTACTGTCGATACCGCACTAATCAACTGAGAACTTAATCTTAATGGCAATATGTTAGTGTATCTGTATTCGTTGTGTGTATGTATATAATACCCTTGCTTAAGGGGGCTCCTTCACGAAAGTCCCCAAACAGAGATATATTAAGTCTACTGAATTTAATGGTGGTCTAAATTATATTTCGAATGGGTCGAAATTTTGAGAAATCCGAGCTCAAAGTTGTAACTATTAGCACGCGTTCCTATGGGGCAGCGTGAAAAACAATTTGTTTTCGTTTATAATAAACCTAAATTAAATGTCCCAGCAGACTGAATATATACGTTTTNCCCGCACGTTGCCCAATCCCGTCGAAGCGGAACACACCCACTGATGTGCATGATAGCTTTAGCTACCACGTCACACAATGCATACACTCATATACGAAAGGGCATTCGTTTCAATTACATGCACCGTCAAAGGCAAACACGCGCCGAGTTGGATCGACTCCTTGGAATATACGCTCCGAGCCGATGCAGAGGTTGCGCCCCCTCTAGCCAAAATCAGGCAAAACTTCTTGCATGTAAACAAACGGTTTAGAACATATATACATACGTACTTACAGCTGCTTGTAATTAGCACTTGGCAAGCTAGAGAGAGAACGACGATCCTCTCCTGCTGTCTTATTCAGCCAATCACAAGCAGCTATACGCATGTAAATATGTTCTAAACCGTTTGTTTACATGCAAGAAATATTGCCTGATTTTGGCTAGAGGGGGCGCAACCTCTGTATCGGCTCGGAGCGAATAGGGCTAATGGAGCTCTCTGATTGGTCAGAAGAGGTCTGTGTTGACTACATTGCAAACTAATAAAACATATCTCGTATCACACAGTACACGGACTTGTGTTGAAGTAATACTCAAGCGCTTATAGTGCTTGTAGTACAAATTTTGTCCTTAGTTATTCACATAGGATTGTACCACTTGAGACATTGTATTAGTTCGTGATATAATAAACACAGAACCTTTTGTGTATCTATCGAGGTACTGTGTTCCTATAGGTATCAAGCACATATCGCGAATATTGCCTTCTGCTGTGCCAGACCAATAGTTCTCGTTTTTCCCTAGGATGGCGCTGCTTCAAAATTGTGCACNCTTTGTTCACACATTTTTAAATAATAACTGCATTTTTACAGTTCTTCATTTTTATCAATCTTGTATAATAAACTATTGAAATTATTACATTTCGAAACACATTCATTAAAAGAGTTAAATAATTAGGTCCTTGTTCTTATGCTTCCATTGTAAGAATCGAGCGTATGCATATTCATATAATGCTCTCGATTTTATGGGAAGTAAATTTTGAACAATGGCATTTCGTTCACAGTCAAAGTCTCTTCCTTCCCCTACTTTATCCTCGTTAAAGTTTTCTTCGTCAGAAGAATCCTCTTCAAACATGACTGTCGAAACTGTTGCCATATTTTATACAAAAATACAGGAATATCCTAAATATCACAATCGGAAACAGTTATAAAAACTCGTGTGATATAACTTATAACCACACAATGAATGGCTTGTTTTGCTCCTATCTCTCTCCCTCTCAATGTAACGAACTTTCCACTGAGTATGATATAAAAGTGTATACGCACCGCGAGACTAAACTTGTAAACGCGAGACTAAAATGTAACTTATTTTACGAGCCATACCAATGAAAATTGTTTGAAAAAAATGAATTAATTCTCAATTTACTTTGTCAAACAATCGCGCATTACCCGTGTGTACACATAAAATAACTGAGGTATGAGAAATTTAATTTTTGACATTTTTTTTTCTTTCACCCAAATATTTACTTACAATTAATTAATTTATTGCCTGATTTCTCAAGAAAAATGTTGAATTTGTTGCACAACTCTATGTAGCATATATTGCTATGAAATTATCAATTTACACATTCACCTCATTATGCTCATAATAAAAAATATTTATTTCTACTTTATTATGATTTTTTGATATGCCCAATCTGTCTACTATTAGTACATTAATTTTTTCCTTTTTCCCAACTTTTATGTTATTCGCTTTCAAAATTTGTTTTCAATTCTATGCATCTTATTCTTGATCTTAAGTGTATCTTGAAGAATTTTAATTTTACATCCAAGCTCCAATAAATAAATGAATTGATTGTGTGCCCGGTCTGTTCACTCTCACGTCTCTAACTTAAGTCTTTTGCTCAACCTCTTTTCTTGGCTATACCAATTTATGACTTTCCTCAATCTCTATCTCTGTACTTGTACCCTCTCTTCGTGGACAAAGATCAGAAAGAGCGCACGGACGCATAGCTACATGCTATCGTACGTAACGCAGCCCCAATTTCTTGTACATCATCATTAGTGATGTACATTTATGTTTTTTATGATTTCAGGTGCTGACATATCCAAGGAAATGGTCAAATTCGCTAAGCAAACTCACAGTGATGAGAAACGCCTATCATTTATCGAATTGGACGTAGAGGCGGAAAAAATACCAAAAGAGCTGATTTGTGCCTTTGACAACGCCGTTTCTTTCTACTGTCTACACTGGTGTCAAAAAATGAAGTATGTAGTAATTATAAAAATCTGATATGCATATCCAGTTTATCAACACACAGTCAATTACCGTAATTGTATGACATGTAATGATGTACATGTAATGTAAAGTCAGTGAAATTTATAGGTAACTGGATGGACAAATCAGGCCAATCACAGTATCTGAAAATTTGCGCCTGATTTTAAGAAAACGGCAAAAATTGTTTTAAACATGGTAAACTTGATGAAAAAAATTTCCATAACATTGTAAAGCTTAGTACGCAATTTGTTTGAGAACAAATATTTTCACTTTTCTGCATCGAAGTTTGTGTACTTACTGTGAGTTATTAAATTTTCAACTTGGTGTTGTCCTATACGTTACATTTATTGGATCTTATAAAGTAAATTTTTAAACCATATGGCACACAAATCAAAAAATAAAATATTCTAAGCCCTACAATTGGATTCTAAATCTTAAGTCAAGTTTACTTAACGAATCCTCATATTGGCCTATTAATAGCTTACATCGTTCAATAATACCTTAAAATTTTTTGGCTTTCTGTAATTTTTTGAACAATTTAAATGATCTAAGTAGCAACGGAATTTTTGAACTACTCAATCGATCAATTTAAACACTGCTTTTAATCATTTGTTTTGTGAGCGATCAGAATTTTTCCGGTTGTTTCGATAGCTTGGTCTCTTTGAAAAACACAGATTATTTAAAACATCCAAGTACCAAATATATGAAAACATTAAAAAACAAAAAAAAACAAAATTGGACAATTAGAACAATATTTTACATCCAACTATTATCCTTCAATGCTAACAAAATATTATTGACGCCAATTAAAATGTTTCTGAGTAAATACACACACTTTTCATCATCATTATTAAAAAGATGATCTCATTTTTAGCCAAGTATTCGGCAATATTTATAAACTACTGCGTCCAGGTGGAAGGACATTGGTGCTGTTCTTAGCTTACCATGATGTCATGGAAGTATATCTTAAAATGTTTGACATCCCTTGTTACAAACAATACATGACGGTAATTAATAGCAATATTATCAGTAACACAAATAAATTTTTGAGTAAAAATAATACCGGCAGCTATCCGGAAACCGATCGATTTTCCAGGATGTTGCAAAGTACATCTTCTACTTCCAACATAGGGATAATCCGGAAGCCGAAATGAAGAAAATACTAAAGGAAGCCGGTTTCAAGGTGCTACACTGCAGTTTACGCGAAAAGTTATACGTTTTCAAAAGTTTGGAAATAACAAAGAGTAAGCCTGCAAATAGTTAATCATACGAGAAACATCAAACAATTATTTTAGTATTATCGGTGAAAACGATTTTTTTGGTGTTTCAGAACATTTCATGGCTATCAATCCGTTTGTTAAAAGGATGCCAAAGGAAATTGCAGAAAATTTTGCAAATGATCTCATGCGTGAATTTGTAAATGTTAATAAATATTTCAACGATAACAAAGAATTAATAGAGAACGGAAAAGTATACGACCGGTATCGCGTACTCGTGGCGTATGTGGAAAAACCGAACAAAGATTAGAAATGAGCATTTTTATAATAACGCTGAAATTCATGAAATTTATGTATTGTGATTTGATCAATAATATAGTAAACTGTAATATAAACTTTACACAGCTCAGCCATATCATATCATACCATATAATAAATATAATAAATGAAAATTACGTTATTGTAAAAATTAATTTTTGTACCTAATTAGACGATGATAAATGGATACTACAAAAATATAAATTTCGCTCTGTTTTTTTTTATTAACGAAACAAAACAAGGAGAAAGCTTTATTCCGTAACACAAAAACAAAAAATTTCCTGTGATTTGAGTGAACAAAATTTAATATTTAGTTCTTTTGGTTCACTTGTTAAAAAATTTAGCCTCATTGTTTTTCTTTTCGTTTCGTTACACAAAAAAAATGAAACAAAACGATTTGTTCCAAATACTTGTATATTTTCATATAGTTTTAGAAACTATATACGGTGTATTTTATACAAAAAAAAACATGAGATTCTGAACAAATGGAAATAATTAAAATTGTTATACAATTTTCTTTGTTCACAAATTTTAGTTTTCTTCGTCAGAAGAATCCTCTTCAAACATGACTGTCGAAACTGTTGCCATATTTTATACAAAAATACAGGAATATCCTAAATATCACAATCGATTTTTTAAATTTAGAGCATGGAATGTCTAAACATATTTTTAATTTTTTTAAACGATATTCATCATAACTTTATTAAAAAAGTCACAGGGATGAACAGAAAAATGTAGTGCTTTAAAATAGCTCTCATTTTTTTTTTTTGAATCATCTGAAAAATGACAACCATTTGGAGGGTGGACGATCAAAATTTAATTTTTTTAATGAAATTTATTTATACCTCGATCCGTGGCTTTTTAATACAGGATGGTTTGATCAATCAATTTTTTCCACAAAAAATACTATGTGCTTACGTACATGTAGCTATGATACCGTACGTGACAAACTACACATTATAGCGTTATTACTACCATTTGACATTTTGTGTGGTATATTTTTAAGTTTGCTTCACGCCATTTTCATTTCAAATAGTTACACTTTTTATTCTAACGAAAATATAAGCACTTTTGTCAAGCAGTCATACCTAAAAACATGAAAACATAAAATGAAAAAACAATTTTGAAGATTAACATGTATTTTTATTTTATTATCTACTCTCCTTGATCTTACATTACGGTACAATCATTTACAGAATGTTTTTGTTGTTATGAGTTCATTACATATTATTGGTATTAATACACTATCATGATTATTATTATTACTATTATAATCACTGATCTTTCGTTTACATTCAGCTAATAACAATTAATAGGAAATTTAACGATTCAAGTCCTTTCCCTGTGTAGTAGAGGGTTTCAATGAAAACTGATACCTTGTTGACGCATCAAAATTTTTTCTCGAAGAAAATCGGGAAGAACGATTCTTATACAGACTTTTTTCATTACGTTGAAGTTGTAAATCTTTATTATTAACATTAACAAATGTTACCATAAATTCACTGAGGAAAACGCAACGATTTGCGAACAGTAGGATAACATTAATAAACGCATTTTTTTCACGATTAAAAATTAATGGTACATGTATTCATAATAAACGAAACGCAGCTCATTCTGCCAAAACTCGCAAGAGCTGGTAAACAAATAGCGTAAATTATTACTACGTTTAGCAGTTTCAGTTTTATTTTGGTATGTAACTAACGTTTAATAAGTTAATTAAATTTCTACTGAAATACCAAACTTAACGTTTGTTCATAGTTATTAAATTTAAAAAATGAAATTTGTATTTAATTGCATTGCATGAATGAGGTAGTTGTTTGGTTTATTGAAATCTTGTTTGTATAGCCCAATGAGAACAAGCACGTATTATCACGTAATTCTCTAATACGCGACAAATAATAAACATCTTAAAGTTTACAAACTGGAATAGTATTTATTTATTGTGGTTGGTACATTACCAAATTTGAAAATTTAAAATGAAATAAAAATTTTTTCAAGCTGTCAAAAAACGTGGTACAGCCTGTTCGTCTTAACAAATAGAAAAGTCCACGATATCGTGGCTTTGCTTAATATTTTTTAATATCGTTTGATCGTAGTATCATTTTATTTATCCTAAGCAACATCGAACATCAACAATAATCCTTTACATATGCAAGAAAAAAGAGATAGTTTTAGCAATATTTTGTTTTGGGCTCAAAAGAACTTTTATCTTTTAATTTCACTTTAGTATAACGGATACTCATATCGAGGACAAGGCACAAGTGAGTCAGATAAGGGTTCGTTGGAGGAAATTGGACTATTTTTGTTTTTATTCATAATATTTTCTTTCATACTCATCTCAATGATACTAGTTTAAAGTTCACTTTCAAATGGTCCTCCGATTTTTAACTAAAATTTTTTCTCTAATGTTTTTTTAAAACATATTGGCGTAGTGTTCATTTAAATTTTCGTTCGTTTGACTAAAGGATACTGTTAGAAATTTTCCTTTAGTTTCAAATTTTTGTCGTTAGATCATACAAGGTCTGCTCACTATTTCGAAACGTCCATCACTTTCGTCTGCTCCGAAAAAGCCCATGTACTTGGAAACAGTTTTGCCAAGCCTAGTGAGCAGACATTTTCTCCTTCAATAATGGACAGTCCAACTATTAATAAAAAAAAAGGAGTTTTAATATTTTTTGTAAAAAAAAAAACATGCTACTTCAGATTGAAAACTTTCATGGAACACTACAGTATGACAAAATATTAAGTGTGCAACGGAACAAAAGCTTGTATCTTTGAACACATAACGCTCATTTATTCATGTACATTTTCGTACAAGAAAAATACATTTTTCAACATCGCTCGATACTCCTGAATTTAAATCGTTGAACTGTTCCTGAAAATTCAATGTATACCAGCAATGAATTATACACTTGTTTACAATAGGTATTAAACTTAATCGTAAAACAACGATCCAATTTTGTATTACTTTTCGAGAAACAATCTTTAACAACATTTGACCCTTGCAGATTTACAACTTATACAATGCGTGTACAAGGGTGTGATCGCAAGGTTTGTTTTAATACAGTCCGTAAGAGTTGAGTGTAAAATAGTTGTAATGATCAACGACGTTCCTTCCGGTTGTTGCACCGCACTTGACTTGTAAAGGGAAGCAAACAAATGACACTTATTTAATCCATATACTGTTTGACTATGGCTTTGCATCATTATTTTTTTTATCATCAATTAATGTTCATTATAATCATTATATCTAAATGTACATATTTAGCGACGAAAGTCTTGAAAAAAAAAAAAATCTTTGGTCTGGCTAAAAACATCGAGTATTGACTAGTTAACTAAAAAAAAAACATGGTACGACTTTTACACTTGACGAATAATATTGTGGTTCTTCACCTTAAAATTATAACAACTTACAACTATACGTTTGTTTTGGCGGACATAAATTGCACGTTACTACCACTATATTTTCTACAATCAGCAATGGAAGTCTCCAAGCATTCGCTACACTTCGCTCGCGCATTTCCTAACTGTCTACCTAGATTTGATATACTAAAAGTGAAAATAATCGAAAATTTTGTGCAATTAAAAATATGTTTCCTAAAATTAATATTAAAAAATTTACTACACTTACAATAAAGTATATGTCTATTTGAACTTTTAAATACGGTATTGAGGCGCGTAATGGCAACGAGTATACAGACGCGGGTGCGTACTCGCATTTTTTTTTATGGTTGCATACGAGTAAGAGAGAACAATAAAGTAGGTATGAAGAATAAAAAAAAAATTAGAGACGCGCAAGTGCGATAAAACATCAAGTAGGTGCGCAGTGAAAATACATTTTTGTTTAGTTTGTGTCGTATGTAGCAGGTATTATTATTATTACTTTTAAGTACTTTCATTGGAACGTTGTACGCATCGCTGAACACTAGAGAATCATTAGAAAAATTGCTTGTAACTTTTATTTAAAATTATTAATAATGAATTTCATTTTATTAGATACTTCACACTTTATAAGCGTCGATAAATATTATTAAGTCAAACCAACAGTTTATTTTAAATATTTACATAATTGAATTCGCATTTTCTAACAATCATCGTGTTGAACCTTATGATAAATTATTTATCAGTTTCAAGGAGATATTGTGTTATAATTGGTATGAAACGTTGTACCATTGAAATACAAAATAAGGTTTATTTTGTGTATGAAAAGTTTAGTTTTGTATATCCAGAACCATAAATGGAATAATTATAAAGAATAATGTATCATTTTTTGTACATTTTTTTGGACGTATCGCAATTTCACCCGCAACTAACACATTACTTATTAATATCGTATATGTTTAATGTAGACGTTATAACATACAAATATTAGATCAACTTTATATTGAAATAATTTTATTATTAAACAGTATCATAATGTTAATTTCAAAATAAAATATATTTTTTTCGCATATTAAAAAAAAAAATTATAGTTTCTTTTTTTTGGAATATTTTTTTTTTTTAGAGACTGGAATGTTTGAAATTTTCTAATGATTCTCTTGCCCACAACAAGATACGCGAAAGAATAACTGTACATCAACAGAGAACGAAATGGTTATCTTAACGCATCATCGATCGATAAATACATTTTTCAAACGCATTTTCGTTCCGTGTGTCTTGAATTGATATAACTATCCAATAGTATTAATGTATAGATTTTACATTAAGTTTTATTGAATATTTGTTACTTTTATCGCAATAATTTTTTTTAAGTACTTTAAAAAGTCGTATATATATATATATAGGTAGGCATGCTTTGCTTCCATCACAATTTTTTTTTTTCTTTTCATCGTAACAGCAATGCGATATATTAATATATTTGTGTAAAAGAGTCGACTGGAAAGACGCGCGCCCTGAGAATATATTAGTCAAGAGAAATGTGATCGGAAAGCTCCAGTAGAACAGCTCTCAAGCCCCTTAAAGACTAAATTTTCATTTTAAATATTTTAAATATTTTAAATGTAACAATATGTAAGTGCTCGTGTTTATGCATATCATATGTATATATAAATATTTGGAAATCGAAAAACGCTTAAATCGATTGCTTTGTATTAAATAGATATATTTATACACTTGGTTTCGTATACGTTATAGATAAGCGTGCAATATACTTTGTAAGTTTAAGCGTAAGTTCAAGCAATTCCATTAATGTATCAATCGGTATGGTTGAAAAATTTGCTTTAATCGTCACTTGAAACGAGCGATAATCGTGTAGCCAAGCGAAAGAAGCAGAAAAAAATGTTACGTATAAAATTAGAGCGAGTGAGTTATTTTTGTTTGAGCTTTGTACGTAGTAGGAAGAAATGTAATCACAATCATTTATTTTTTTTCATGTAAAAGTAGAACACAACTCAGAGTCAGTAGTACAGACGAGATGAATGTGCCATTGAATGGAACATCGGAACTTTATTCGAAAACAACCACCGACCGCAGAATGTCAGTAGAAGTAATATTAATATGATGCAGCACAAGTTTTTTAAAATAGTCGAGTGAAAAGAATTGCGTTTAAACATTTTCATGATTAGAGTTATAAAAGTTAAATCGAAAAAAATAAAATCAATGCCCTCTAATTGTGCTACACACAAAATTGCAACTACGGGATTTTAATTTTTACAAGTTTATACGGATTAGAAAACAATGTAAAAAAAAGCATTTAAATGAAAAATATTTGCTAGAAAAGACAAATAATATCACGCTTCGAAAATTAGCCCAAATAAAATTTTGTGCAGTACCCTGGTTTACTGTGCTCATAAAGTATTGCCTTGCTCATAGTTGTGCATTTTTCAGTTACTTTTTCAAACAATGAACATATTTTCAATTGCATTTATTATTTCTATGATGCATGAATAGTTATTCGTTTAAAAAATATCATTTTTAAAACATTACTCAAAAAAATACGTTTTAGTGTTTTCTGCACTAATAAAAGAGCATCACAATGTTGTAGAGTTTTATACATGAACATGTGCGTAAGCACAGGAAGCTCATAAGAAAAAAGGACAATATGCATTACATATTTTCATATGTTGAGATTTTTCTCCATAAAAAATATTATTATCAATAAGATCTATTAACTTTTTTCTTTTTTTTTTTTTTTTGGAGTATAACTTTAATTATTTGGCGATTTTGTGAAAAGTTGATGTTTATCGTTTATTATAAATAAATACAATGTAAATAGCTGCATAATTCAACATTGACAAACAAATTTTCCGAGTTGATCAACGTAGTTATAAAACGTTCCGGTTTAAAATATATTAATATAATTATTTGTCAATAATTGAATAACGAGACTTTTCAATTGGCAGTAAATAAACGTTTAAATATTAATCATGTTGAGTATACAACTAGAAAAAATAAGTATTTTTTTTTGGAACTTATCCATCAAAAAAGTATTATTACTCTTCAAATAAAGTTAAGACTGCCAACATTTGAATGCTTAGTTTTTTTTCTCGTTACTTATGTACAGCTTCAATCATACCAAATATATTTAGAGATTTTTTAATTCTCACTACGGTCAACTGTACGCCCTCGTTTATCGATGGAAACAAAAACTGCATAAGGTCTAAGCTTGTGACATATTCGTATTCATAATTGGCAGACTGACTTTGACAAAGAAAATAGTAAAAGTTACTCATTAAATAATATATATTTACAAATAAAGCATAAAAATTGCTTGTGTCTTTACAACCCATAAACTATCAAAATTATTATTACCAAAGCAACTTAAAAGTGTAAAATTGATTAGATGTTGAGTTTGACTCGAGGGTATCGTCAAAGACTAGTTTAATTCAAAAGAAAATCGTACAACGATCGTAGAATAACAACAATATCGATTTCAACGTATTTACGGATATACTTAATAATACCCAATTCGAATGCTGATCAACCACTTCGAATTGGCCATTTGTTATTTTTACACACTTAGATTCCGTCAAGTTCCTTGTCGTTGAAACTTTTTTTTTTTTTTTGCAGTCAGGGGGAGGGGGTTTCAATGTAATCATCCATACTTATTTTTTACCTTCGACTGTAGCTTTAAGACTTACACGATAAATAACAACAACAACATCAACAACACGTAATAGTTCAACGCAGATAATGTAACACATTTATGTATATTATTCGCATGTTTTAATAATTACTTTTTGTATCGTATTTACAGTTTTACCGATGTCGAGGATACCATCAGGGGAAACAGAAAAGCAATCACGAACGTGAGTGTGTGCACGTTAGTATCAATTAAATAGTATGGCCCGAGCTGACATTTTTTCGCGTATACTTTGGAAAATCTTGTAACGTTTGATGGAGGAGTATGTGTGCACAGTTGGAAGAATGTAATACGAATGTACCACAAATTGTCCGTCACGTTGTTTCCCTCACCTCAATCACTTCGCTTTCCATCTCAAAAGTGTAACCTATCAATGTTGCATAATAATGCAATTAAGATTGTTTTTGCTGTCATAATTTTCTGCTCACACGCCTTTAACTCATTTATTATAACTTCAGTTTTCAACACATACAGTCTCTTTTTACGAGCAGTTTAGGGTGTTTCAAGGTTGTGAGTTTTTTTAGCATATTGAAATTCGAAATCAAAAAGCATAAAAGTTTCTTATTTGAAAACCATTTGAATTTATAAGATTAATTAAATTGTCGATGTGATTATTAGTTTTACTGCTTCACCCTTATTTTGTGTCGTAGAAAGAAAACAAATTTTTTCTAAATATTGTACAATTAATATAGTGACGAATAAGAAATGTTTTCAACAAAAAGAACTCCTGGAAAAAAAAAATTAAGCGACAATGACTACAATAGTGCCAAAATATTTTGCAAAATATTACGAACTAGTATCGAGTTTGAAAATATACAGTTCTTGGGGATAATTGTTGGAGTTAATCACCGTGATGTTGTGTTTTTAAATTGTAGTACTTTTAAATTTCCCTTGAAGCGATGCATTTTTATTATGCAATTTCAAGATAGTACCTACTTTCCTCCACTGTGCTATCAAAATAGTTTGTCATTTCTTATAAAACATGCCACTTGAATTTCTTATTTCTCTGACAATATAATGTAATTCAATTTTGGAACTTTTTAACAAAACTTAACATGTATGGTATTTCTGGTCAAAAAATTTAACGCATTTCATCGAAACATCAGAAAGCACGTTACCAGATATATGAAAAGATCGAAAGGCAAAGTTTTTGACCCAAAAACTTTCCTCGCTTGCGTTTGTCACCTTATGTTACACTCGATCCACAGACAGCCACGGCCTTGGAGCCGTATGAAAAAACAAAACGGTCAATTGGAGCCCAAAATGGAATTCCAACCGTCCCGACATCCCTTCCCTGTGCTTTTACGCAGAAGCCCCACGCCCGTTCCGAAATCCATCGATATCGCGACCAAACGAGGATATGCGATTGATTTATCGATTTGAAAACTGGCCACAGTGGATTTTTGTCATCGCGAATATTCATGAAAAGTCGATAGATTTGTGGCTCAGTGGGTATAAACTATCACCTCGACATTGTCGGCCAAGAATATGGGAGAAGAGTCCAAATGGTAACAACCAAGTAGCTGTCATACCCAGTACCTGCCCCGTCGATGATTTCTCACACCGAAGAGGAAAATTTTAAAAACCATAGGTCGAAAGCTCAGTGTTTTCCGCTTGGAAATAATAAAAATAATATCGAACGAGCCTTAAAGAATACATAATTGACGTTTAGTGTAGACTTGAACAATATACCCGCGGTATCGATCGTTACAAAATACATATCACAAATTATTGCTTCACATTGAGCTGTGATCTTGTGCCTTTCCTGAGTATGACAACTCGATAACTTTGAGCGTTATACAACACGTCGGTTCTCCTCGTGCCACGTATACAAAACGTATGATTGTGCGTTTGGAAGAAAAAATAACAATAATAATGGATACCACAAAGCAAGTCCTTCGGCACGTGATATCTTGAAATAGAACGGACAGATGAATTTGCGCGAGACGGGATAACCGAGCATTCGCGGATTTGGCAAGGTGCCCCGAACGAAAACCAATCGCAAAATAACTCACGGACAGTTTCACTCGCCAACGATTCGAGCCCGGCTCATTCGCCCTTTCCATCCTTACTCCCGTGGGCTCCACCTGGGAACCATTGGTACATCACAAAGTATCATCGTTTCAACCACTGCACTGACCGTGGTAAAGATGGTCGCGAGTTCGATAATGATGGACATCCTGTTCTATAATTTCGAGAGAGAGAGAGAGAACAACTGCGAAAATTACGCAGATCGCAGGCGTTCTAATATTGTACACTTTGCACGCGTGTCCTACAACGCGATTTTTTTTTTTTTTTTTTTCAACAACAAATTCTGCAGAGGCTCTTTACAACAGTGTTTTGACATTTACACCTAAGAACCTACGCGCAACGAGAAGAGTCGAATCTTTGTTCAACTTTTCTTGCTTACGATTGCGGTGCAATGCGACTTAATTGCTTAATTGTTATTATCATCATCTTTATCGTGACTACTTATATTATGTAGCTTATGCGATTTTTGTTTTTGTTTTTACGTGTATACACTCGTTAATCTATAAATACGTGTTCATACGTATACGCCATTACTAATAACAAGGAAAACGTCACGGCCGTACAAACATTTGCACGCGCGCAACATTTTTGATTGTCATCTCAAAAAAAAAGAAATAAAAAAGAAAAAAAAAAAAAAAAAAAAAATTGGTCACTGCGGACCTTTTTTTTTAATTTTATTTCGCCACGCTCGCCCCCGTTCACAAACGTTTTTCTTTTTTTTTTTTTTTTTTTTTTTTTTTTCCTTCGTGTCGTTGGGAGAAAGTGACGCGGAGGTTCTGTAACCTCGGGTGAAGCAGGATTCGTCCATTACTCCTTAGCCCCACCTCTAAAACCGATCGATACGCTCATACTTTCGTTAAATCAATTGGACTTGTCTCGGGAGAACAAACGAGAACCCACGAGTCGCTGTGTGCTTACTGTACCTTTTACATCAGCCTTTGGAAAATCTCAAGTTATTCTCCTCTAGGCCAAGTGAGATTCGACTCGGACCGATGAGACATTCGAAACATTTTTTTTTTGCATCTTAAAAAAAAAGGGTATCTCTCCCTCGCGAGATTTGCATCGTTACTTAGTTACTTCGAGTTGGGACTATTTATATTTATAACGCCTTATGTATATAACAACAAGATTAATATAGTTACAGTTTAAAAACATCACACTTATTTAGAATCACATGCCTATACGATAATAGTACGAGTAAAATCCAAGTCTTGCCGATCGAACCAATCTCCCCTCGGGAATCCCAAGTGCGTTTCGTCTAATACTGTGACTGCGAGTGCAAACACCCCGTAAAACCAGCCCTCGCCCCAAGTCCTCCATGACTCGCAAGGACGACACAACAATATGTACCCGGCAAGCTCGACTCGACACCGAGTCGTGTTTTTTCGCCAAAGTTACACGTCCAGTCGGAGAGCGGCGTTTATAATACGGGAGATCGGAATGTTACTTGTCGAAAATGCAGCCGCTTCCTCCTCCTCCTCCGGTGCCCGCGCGCGACCTGCTGCGACGTTGCGTTCGGCCCCTCCCGGGCTTCCCGAGGACCAACGTCTCGCGCGACCACGTATATCAAGGTGAACCACGTGCGGGTCGGTACCGCGCGTTCACTGACGCTTGTCGCTCTGGAAACACCTCAGCCAGCGGTGACGCCTGGCCTCGTGCTAGTAAGTCTTCCCGCTGAGGGCCTCCGCGTCGTCGGGCCCGTCGTTCGTTGGCGACAAGTCGATCTCGCCGCTCTCGAATCTGCTGTAGCGGCTGGAGTACTCCGCCTCGAGCGACGCTCGAATCTACACCAATTGCCACAATTTGGGTTACTTTGGCGCCTCGGAGGCAAAGAACAACGGTACATCGCTTACCCTTGCCCTCTCCTCTTCGAGCTTTTGACGCACTTCCTCGTGCTGCTTGTCCAGCTCGATTTTCTTCCTCTCGTACTTCTTGGTCAGTCTCGTGCACTCGTTCACTCCCTTCTCGACAGTCGACTTAGCCACTTCCCTCTTCATGCGGTCCAGCTCGGCCTTGTCTTTGTGAACTTTTGCCAATTGCTTCACCTATATCCATCAAAAAAGATATATTTGTTCATTGGTAAAAGCTGTTTTTAATGCCAACTAGAATCCTAAAAGTAGCAAGGCTCAAACATATGAGCACAGGGTATTTTATCTTGAATTAATTAGATTAGTGAGAAAAAATAAAAATTATGCACGTGACTTTAGTAAGGCCTCGTGCGGGAAACACGTGGAGCTCACCTCCTCGCGTCTCGTGGTCTGCAGCCTCCTCTTGACGTCGGCGGTCTCGCGTTCGTAGAGCGCCTGTAGCGTTTTCAACTGATTGCTCTGTGACGACTTCATGACCTTCTCGAGGGTCACGAACATGTTCTCGTGGTACTTTTCCTGCAGCTCGCGCTCCTGCAGCACGTGCTCCTTGCACACGGCAATCAGCCGCTCGCTCCGGCTGCGCGGGATGCCCTTGGGCGGGGACGTCTCGATGTTGCTGTTGTCGCGGTTGTCGACCTCGGACGAGTCCGTGATGTCGGTCTGCGTCAGACCGCTGAGGCCCACTTCGCCGGTGAAGCTGGAAAGAGTCAAACGACCTTACACGCTTGCCCAGGGAAATCTTGCAAAAAGAACAGAATAGCTCGCTCACATGTTTTTACTCGAGAGACGCTTCACCAGCATATTGCTCATGTAAAACTTGGACTTTTTGCTCTCCCCGTCGACCGACGAGCCCTTTGTGCCCTGCACCCGAGCCTTTTCCTTGCCCTGCTTCTTCCTCAGGTTCTCCAACTTCTTCTCGAGCTCCATCTTCTTCTCCTTCACCAGCTTGTTTTCCATCAGCTTGTCCAGCGACTCGGCCACGATGTCCTCGGACACCAGCGAAAACGAGCCTACGCGTTTGCAACGAGAACAAAAAACAAAAAGGAAGGTCATCAATTGAAAGACCAACAAATAAATATGTATATATATCCACACTCACTGGTGCTGGCGTTGAGGGGGCTCTTGTTGGTCGACGCTTCGACGACGCCGCTTGGCCCAACGCCCGTGCCGTCCTCGAGCTCCTGCGAGTCCGCGGTGTTGATCAAACCGATCGATGGTCTACCGTGTGGACTGGCGGTTGTTCCAGGTGCCAATCCCGGGGGTGGCTCGCTGATCGATTGCCCTCGCTTCGACTTGCTACTGCTGTCCTCCTAAAGTGCACGAAAAAGGGATTCGGTGAGAAAGTAACTCGCGTGGCACCAAACCTTATTGATTATTTTTCTCTCGGCTTAGAATAATTCATTGAAAACGATGTTTGTTCTGGTGTGGGGTTGATGTGTACTTTGGTCCCGAGGGGTGTAGAATTTAGTGTGACAAACAAGCTGTATGGTCTTTGGTTGGGATGGTCGGGAGGACAGGGTTTTTTCAGACAACGGCTACGGAAAAAAGGTGTGATTTGTACCGCGTCGATCATTAAGAGAGGACATGGTGTCTCGAAGGTAAAAAGTCCGTGGTGTCGTGGTTGTTTTCAATCGAATTTTCTAAATGAGATCGGTAATCGTTTGTCAACTCACAGCTGGCTTAGACGAACTCGATCCACTACCCTTTTCCTTAATCTACAACAGTTTATATTATTACCAATTGAGTACACATACATATATTGGAGCAGAGATGTATAAAAGATATCGACTACCCTGTATCTACTGAAAATAAAAATACTACTACTTTCTATGCACAAAAAAGGGTTATATTGGTGTATGCTTTCGGTACGAGAGAGGAGCCAAAAATACACCCTCCAACTCGGAGCTTAAAAAAAGTAAAATAATGCTTTCTGGAGGAGGAAAAAAACGAAAGAGTCTTTCTCTCTCTTGGAGGATTCATAAAAAAAAAGGCGGGTCAGATCGTCGTCCAAAGCCCTGTTTGTATATTCAATCAGTCCAACACGCACAGTCTTCCTTTCATCAAATATTACGAAAGAAGAAAAGGGAAAGGCAGAAACGCGAACTAGGGAATTCGATTGTTAGTAGCACATCAACGGTAGGCAAACAAACCTCGGCCTCGCCTTCGGGCTCCTCCAAGTCATCCGTGAGCGCAGCCAATTGCTTTTCGCGCTTCTCGATCTCGCTCTGGTACTTTATCGGGTTGGCCAGAGCCTCGGCAAAATCGCTCAGGCCGTCCGGCACGTAATCCTTGACGATTACGTGTAAAAAGAGGCTGGCCAGTGGCAGTGGTTGGCCGCACTCGGTTCTCAGGGCCACGTGACGGTAACCCGGACAAAGACCTACGACCGGCAACACTCGGTGGCCTATCATTTTGCCCGACTCCTCGTACGCTGCTATTCTGATGGAAGCCAACTCTGGTAAGACCACCTGCGGCGCGACGTAATTCGTTCAGTTTTGTGAATATGTCAACTTTTTTAAAAATATTTACACTGAAACTCGCGTACCTTTTTGAAAACAAACGGCTCCTCGTCGTACACGGGATTGATACCATTGTTGGGTACTATTTTCGTCCTAAACTTCTTTCGGACGGTATCCGCTGGAAGACCATACATGTCCACCTCGACGTAAGTCCCTACCCTCTTGTCGGTCAAAAATTGCGCCGATATGACGTGAATCTTGACGGTCCCGGCAATTATACCGTCGACCGTCGACTCCGCGAAAGGGTCCAATCGCCGATCCTTCCTGCGCATGAATTCGGGCTTCAACAAGTAGCCGCAACGCTTGTTGTACTCAAATATGCCCACGTTTAATTGCATAGCGAGATCTGAAACCACAAAGTCCAATTGCGCCGGACGGGGATTAATTACGAAAGCAAACAAAAGCTCTCGTAATACAACAAACGCGAGACGAAAGCAGCGCGCACCGCCGGCTAAAATTAACCGATCCGCCTACCTAGAGTTTGATAGTTGAGAGCTACCAGCTGACAGCCGGCGTTCCAAAAAACTTGGGGCATGAAGTTGCTCGAGTCGAAGCGCGTGCCCGAGGGGTAGACCCGCGACAGCTGGTGTTTGTTGTAGTTGACAAACTCCAGCGGGCGCTCCTTCAGCAAAGTCGTGGCTTGCTTCTCGTCCAACGACGACATCTCGTACATGCGGTTCTTCTCTGAAATTCAACCCCCACGTTATACACCCCATGCACTCCCTTCGATGGCAACCATACACTTACTTTCGGCGTACTCGAAACTGACAAAGTGAACCGGCTGGACGTAGTTGACGAGGGCCGAGATCTCGGCCCCGGCCTCCGTTTCCTTCGACGCCTTCGTATCGGCGACCGCGCCCTTCTCCCCCACTCGCAGCGCATTTATGTCCTCGACGTTGGACTCGTCCTCCTCGGTACTCGACTCCTCCTCCTCGTCTGTAATGACAAAAGCAGTTCTCCTCATCCAATGTACCGATGAATCTACAAAAAAGGTGCTGTATCGGGGACAAAGAGCAGACCATCGTCGTCCTGGGTGCTGTCCTTGCTGCCTTGCCGTTGCTGTATCATGGGCGCGTGGGCTTCGTCGTTGGGATCCTCGTTGTTGTTTCCATTGGTGACAACGACTACGCCATCGATTACCTCGTTCAGGGGTATGATGTCGGGCGGAGGGCCGTTTTCTCCTTTGGTCTGGTCGTCCGTGCCGTTTACCTCCCCGGCCGTGCCGTCCTCCTGCTGTTGGGCGACGTTCCCAGCCTGGGCTTGTTGTTTCTTCTTCTGGTTCTTCTTGTGGTGGTGCTTCTTTTTGTTCTTTATGATGATTTTGCGTTTTAGCAGCGCCGGCGGTGGCAACTCTTGGCCCGGCACCAACTGCACAGGAGTATGATTGTCACGTCGTATATTGATGGTTACACGGGAGCACTCACCTTGTGTGACTCGAGGGGCGCGTCGAGCAGCATGTCCCCGAAGAATTCCCGGCAGTACTGGGCGATCTTGGCCTGCTGTCTCGGGTTGCAGTGGTTCTCGAAGCTGAGCACAACGGGGTACTCGGACGTCTTGAAGGCACTGTCCGCTATCGCCTCGATGACATCTCGAGCCGATATATCCGGCACCAGTGTGTACCTGTCGTTCGATGGGAAAAGTCAAAAACTTAACAAGTACGCGATCACTAATATCCCCCATAGATTCCGTATGGAAATCTACTCGGATACATCACCCCACGTACTCTGAATCGTTTACCACGTAAAATCATCGGAGAATCTCGATAAAGTCACCGTCATGAGTAAGACTTGTCTCCACACGCTCCACCCAAGCAAGGACTCTTTAGGGATCTCGTCAAGACATTGCTTGGATTACACGTTCGAAGACAAGTCTAACTCCATCTGGAAGCCATAAGGACACCTCGTCGAGATTCTCCAAAGGGATTTTATGAAGATTCCAATGAGTATACATTATCGGGTGACGATGAGGACAAAGGCAGAGTTGTATATACCCGTGAACGATGACAGGCTCGTCGAATTTCCCGTTCCAGAAGTCAAGCTCGACGCACCGGCAGCCGGAAAGCAGACACTGGCGGTATATCTCCACGGAGCTCTTGCCCGTGAACTGATGGCCTGGAAGGGGGTCGAAACGCGACGTGTAGTATGAAGAAGAGAGAAAGAAGTAACGAAAGGCCAAAGCGTCTAACCGGTGAGATAGGTGTTGTGACTAGAGTTGATGAAGTAGTGGGCCAGGGGTTGCTCCATGTCGTCGCAGAGCTCGAACCTCGAGGCGGCGACGATGGGGTTGTCCTCGCTCATGAGGTACCTGAGGAAGCCGTCCAGGCTGAGCTGGCCCTTCTGGGCGTTGTGGGCGTTGGGCTCGTACTGGCGGATGATCTCCGTCGCCCGGGCGGTGTTGGCGTACGGGTGGAGGATCTCGTTGAGCCGGGGGTCGCGCTGCGTCTGGTTGAGGAACTCGACGAACTGGGCGGCCGACATGAGCTTGCGCTTCGACGAGCCCGTCAACTCCTCGAAGACCCGCTCGACGTCGCTGCGCTGCGTCAGGGACTTGTAGAAGTTGAAGAACTCCTCGAATTGGAACTTTGACAGGGGGATGCCGTCGTTTTTACCCGACGCGTACCCGGATATGTCCAGGGCCTTCTCCAGCCGCTTGCGGTCCTCTTTGTTTTGCGTGAACATCTTTATTATGCTGCGGCCGATGGGCAAATCGATTACTCGGGCTTTGTTTTTTTTTTTTTTTTTCATTTTTCGTCGTATCATTATTTTTTTCTTTCGTTCGTTTTGTTGGTTTTTATTGCTTTAATTGGCATTTGTATGTTTCAGTTGNGCGATTTTTTTTTTTTTTTTTTCATTTTTCGTCGTATCATTATTTTTTTCTTTCGTTCGTTTTGTTGGTTTTTATTGCTTTAATTGGCATTTGTATGTTTCAGTTGCGTGTTTATACTCATGGAAAAATTTACTTCTTCTTCGACCGTTCGCTCAAGTTGTACACGATTTCATTACTAAATATACTTTAACATACTCTGACGTGCTATCAATTGAAAAATACGGCACGAATGGTCAATGCATTTTTTTTTTCTTTGTATTTTATAATCGTGTAGAATGTAGTTATTTTCGTAATAGTGTCGGTAGAAAAGACTGTTTCCCACGTAACTATTCAACTGCGTGTAGTTGAGACGTGTGAAATAGTTAATAGCGTGAAATATGGGTCATTTTACGAAAACTGGCATAATCCAAAGGCTGAAACGGACAAAAACTAACAAGGATTTTTTAATGTTTGTAATATTTTTTTTGTACTCTTTGTGAACGTGACAATTTTTCAAGTCCCACCGGAACTGCTCGAAAAAGAACTTTTTAATATTAATATTATGGGTGCCATTACGGGCTTCAAGCAAAAATAAGACTTTTACGCACTTTAAGAAACATGTGAGATAAAAATTCCGGCGCACCATAAATGAGAATTAAATTTCACCCTCGCACTTGTTTCATGTACGTGACAGCTATTTATTTTATCCTTTCCACTGAACGGGTTTCGAATTTTAATTTTGGGGAGACTGAGGACTCGCGAGTCTGTAGCACTGGCCAGTGGTAATGGAAAAATTTGAAAAAATTTCTGCAGTACCCTGAATCTCCGTAAAGCGATATGTTAAACGAATTGGAGCACCCAAGTACAATTGCGTGCACTTACGAAAGATTTTTTGTGGATAAATCAGATTTTAGGGCCGTCACGTTCATAACGTACAACCTTTTATACACATTTTATCTGGGTTTTCGAAAACGTATAAAAATAATGCGAAGGTTAATGTCTTAGACAGCTTATAGGCTATGGAGCAAAAAAAAATTATAAAGCCATATTTTGCCTTATTAAGGGAGACTTTTGGAGTGGGACACGGCACGAGCGCGTAACGCCAATTTAGTTTTTTTTTCCAACAAAAAAAAGTAATAGCTTTTTATGATCTATTTTCCATTGCAACTTACTCTTTATTATTTAAAGAAGTTTTAAAACCAAATATCTATAATGAATGCCGCTTCAATTGACTGGGCCATGGAAAATGGCTTTTTTGGTAAAACGACCCATATATATGTATACAAGGTGGTAAAATCGATAATGCCCCAGATCTCATGTGTACTTGCAAACATGAAATAAGAGCATTATTTACTTTCGGTCTTAGTGTTTATACAATCTTACATCTTTTTGGGAAAGGAAGTTTTATCCTAAGCAAAAAGGAAAGAAAGTATCACTTTCGGGCCAAGTTTTATCTCTTCATTTTTCTTTCCAAAAAGTTTAAAAGGTTTTCACTAAAATATATGGGTAATTTGTTCTGTTTTCTTTTCTTCAGCAAATATGAAGTCAACTTAGTTTTAAAAACTGTTACAGTTAGAAGCTTGTTTTTTTAATATTAAATAACAACTTATCAATTCTCTTGAGACGCGAAACTTCTTAAACAACAAATAATACAGTTACATACTCAGCAAACTTTACCAAGTGTGGAAACAGTACAGCCATTTATTTATTCAATACCTTCCCTGGCCCAAAGAATGGTACACTTTAGAGGGAAGGGTATAAAATTGCATGAAACACATATTTTGAGAGAAAACAATGTATTAAAATTAGTGTGCCATTTGCACTGTAAGCTCAAAGTATTTTGTCATCTAGAGACTTTTTACTGTTCATAAACTAATTTTTTCTCTATCCAGGATATAGTAATTTTCAGTCATTTTTATCATTTGCTGAATCAATAGACAGTAAAAAGTCTCTGAAGACGACGTAGACGTAGTACCACCAGTTTACAGTGCAGCTAGCTTAAGTTACTTTTTTCTCTCAATGTATATGCGTCAAAAACTGTAAACAGCGATAGATAATTTTTTTTTTTTTTCTGAGCTGCTTGCACTAACTTTTTAACTGGTATGTTGCCAGACTTGTCGGCGGACAGGGTGAGCTTCGTGTGGGCCTTTTGCAAGAACATGATGGTGCTGGTATTGAGCTGAGTGAGATTGTTAGCCAAGTGGAAGATCTCGTCGGCCCAGTGTCGGGCTATTTCGGCGCGCGTCGTGCAGAAGTTGATAAAAGTCATGTTGACAAAGTCCGAGCCGTGGCAGATGGTCAGGGTTTTGTCTTCCAGCGAGTCTTGCGAGCCCATTGTCACCATAGATCGTAATTTCATGTCCTGAGGAACCGTCGGTTTTACAGACGATTGGTGCATTGTACATACATTTTTTTCTCATTGCTCGTGCACATGAGAGTATTTTTAATACCGTATGAGCAAGACAAGCAGAGGCACGTTCGTTAATGGAAAAGCGAGGCTTTACAGTTTCAATATTTTGGCATCGACGCGTGAAAGGACAATGAATGAAGAAAAAAAAAGAACTGCGACTATATAGTTACTTTATTCTTTTAATGTGAAATGTTTTCAAGCAAAGCAATAAGCAGAATGATAAGTTAACACATAAAACATGTATGATGGACAAGCTGTTTTTGAGTAAATTAATTTTCGTGGCATAATGAAAAATAAAAAAATGAAATAAAATTGAAAGGGGTGACAAGAGTATTAAAACTTTTCGATGAAAAACAAACGGCAAACATTTTACGCCACACATAGGTCAATCTACTGTCAAAACTTATAATTACGTATCGATGTCATCAAGGTCTATAATTAATCAATAACACCCAACTTGTCATCTGCATGAAGCTGTATTTTATGCATACTCGATCGTTTGATAACAAACTTTTTACATAAAAAGTGTAACCAAATAAACAAGAGAAAAAAAAAATTTTATTTATAACTTTCGAAAAATTTTACACTTTGCATACATACATAAATATACATATACACATAGCATACACAAATACATTCACAAATAAATATATACACATATAGAATTCACGTATTTTGGTGATAAAATTATACAAACACAGCAAAAAAAAATTATGATACAAAGTAGGTCACAAGCATGCATTCTAAAATATTAAAAAATTATTTAAAACAAAAGCCAGAACACCCAAGTCAAATTTTTTTTTTTTTTCTTTTAGTAATCACCTTGGGTATCTTAGCAAACTTTCCAGTTCGTGTGTCACGAATCATAGCTATGTCTAGCATATCCACTTCGTTGTGCTGATCTATCCAATACAGATAAAAACCATGTTTGTCCACTTTCAGAGTGACTGGTGTTGCTACTTGTGAATCCTACATTTGGGCAAAACAATGTGATGGTGGGCTTTTAACTTATGGGAAATTCCGTATACTATTTTATTGTTCTAATCATATACTATTCCAACAATTTATAAGAATGTCACTAAAAAGTGTTTCATACATTGTCATATCTTTATAAATAAGTATATTTAAACTTGAAACTGAACTATATAACGTTTACTAATAATGTATACTATTGTAAGACATTGTCCCTTTGTAAGGAAATGTAATCCTATACACAGCTTGTGCTTTGAAACTTTATCTTACATTTGCTTATTAAATCCTCAACAGTTGAAATGTTTTAGTAGCAATATTAATTTACTTTAAAAAAAAAAAAAAATATTTGCACAACTGAAATGATATTCTCAAGTAATGATCTTTGAACGAAACTTTGTGTCAGTTGAGTCATTCCATTACAGATGGATAGCTTGCGTTTATCTTACAGTGAAAGTTGACATTCTTGTGCAAGCACAAATCAAACTTCATTCCAAAAGCATGAAAACTCATACCTCGTCCCACTTGACAAATTTCTCTCCGTCTTGTAGCTGCTGCGATACATCGACAGGCCTGACCTGAGCGGCGTTTTCTGCTGACTTGGTACCTGCCATCGTTTCTGGAGATTTCCTTGGCACGAGGTGAAAAGTCCAGAAGCATGAAGTTCACAGATTGTTAATTAAGGAAGACTTTTCTGCTGCTCGCTGAAATCTTCTCTAGTTTAATCTTGAGCTCCGTTTGCCCAGGTGCAGCTTGTTTGCTGCAAAGAACTGGGCACCAGTTTCCTGTCTCTCAAACATTGACTGAAGGCTAAAAGAGAACACTTCCTTGTATTCTAAGTGGTACAAGTAACATGCTAAACTTCAACAACACGAGCACTACAAAACGGAACTTTTTAATACAACTTAAAGTGCATAAGTCCAAAGAGTCTTCTAAGTATATTCAATTGATGTTACATTCAATGTGAATACATCACACTACTTTGAAAACTCCTTTGGCAAAAGCACTGCTTAACAAACATCAGGGCATTCGACTCTGGCCCTCTAAAAAAAAAACAAAAACCAATCACATTCAAGTACGGAGAGGAAATTGCATTAAATTAAACCAACATTTACACAACTGTCAAGTGGTCGTTAAAACACTTCTTTCTATACACTGTTCAACGTCAACAGCTTCCAGATCTCACGTCTACGTCGTACCATTGAACAGCCAGACAGAAATGATTCGCAACAGCCTCGCACACTTTGGCGAACGCAAAACAACGGACAGCAGACAGAAAGAGAGGATGAGAGCTTCCCTTCCCGTTTTATACATAAATCAGTGCTCCCTCCTCCTCCTCCTCTCATCCTCAACAAAGGGGGAAATGAGCGATCATGTGTGTTCTCTATACGAGCATCAGCAGTATGTGAGAGTAGCAAAATAAAATATAGATAAAGAGAGCGAGATAACGGGTAAAAACAAAAAAGGGGGTAAGACCTATGAATTTTCTTACGACCCGAGAGGGCCATAGATTAAATTGAAGCTCCTCTTTTTTTTTACCATTCCCCCCGTTCCTCTTTTTTTCCAGACACACTGGAGTTTTCTCGCAAAATATCAGACGAAAAGAGAAGATGGGATAAGGAGATTAGAAGAAAAAAAAAATGCTCTCCAACACGCGAGCCTCTAGATTTAATATCATGAGCAAGGGTAATAATGTATAAAGATCACACACAACGATGACAACGAATCCTCTTCTTGATCTTTATTTTTTCTGTCTTGATTAGCAAAAAAAAAAGCACGCACTAGGAACAAATTACATTGGACAAGAAAAATACGCACCCACAACTGTATATACAATTGTACACCTGCTACATATACACCTCGCCCGAGGGGGCTGGAATGGAGAAGATATAAGAGATGAACAGAAAGACAAAATATATATATATATATAACACACATGTATGAGAATCGCGGAAGCGGAGCAATGTAACGAGAAGGCGACATCGCACAGTACTTTCCGCAACGTAAATCCAATACTCCCAACTTTGTCCTGTTTACTGTAACATGTAATTATTAAGTATGTGTTCAGTGTGCTCCCAAGATACCAGCATAATGGGTTGGATGGAAAAAAAAAAAAAAAAAAAAAAAACAACAAAGAGTATAAGAGCCGCAAGGACAAGCTGATGAGCTTGATGTGTCAAGGTGGACGAGAGAGAGAGAGAGAAGAATAGAAGATAATGAGAAGCTGGCTTGATGCCTGGATGGTATACAATACAGAGAGAGAGAGAGAGCGGTGTGGATTTATGTATTAAAGTGAATAATATAATAGCTTCAACAGCCCGAGACGTAATCGTAGATAATACACTCCTCCCTCCTTTTGTAAACACCTCGTGCACTCTGTCATTACTGTTATTAAATATATAAGATTCTACATCTCCATTTACTGCTGTCTTCTGCTGATTCTGCAGGTCTCCCCCTCTCTCTATCTCTGCTGTGACTTTCTGCTCCGATTCGCCCGTATATATACACATGTATAGTATAGTATATGTATAGTATACAGTGTATACTGTATAGTATATAATACATACATGTACACAACATTACCTATACCTGTCAAACTGTCATATTTTTCATCATGCACAATGAACCCGCTGCCCGTTGCTCAACCTCTGCACACTCTACACTATATTAAACACAGTACACATATGCAGCTGCCCAAAGGCCCAAGAAACATCAAAGTGCAGATTATAAAACACCAGGCTCCGAAGTGATCTGAACTATTAACCTACCTATAATCTTATTCATCTCTCACTGCACACTTTATACGTTAACACTGTTACGGCGTTCAGGACTATACACGGTTAACAAAAAAATAAAAGAACAAAAATATAAGTTTAAGATAAAGCTGTGCGTTCGCGCGAGGCTCTTCCTTGTGCTGTTGCTGTCGAGACACTTGCGGGAGCGCGACGACAACGACGTCTGCTGCGAGAGGACTGCCGCGCTCTCAGCTTCTCTCTCTCAAGCTGTGTATATATATATATATATATATATATATATGTATTGTATCATTGTATATATTCGCAAGCGTCAGCGCCAAATTTTAATGTACGGTGGCGAATTTACAAAGCTGCAAGAAGGTGCTCCCGAGCATTGGCGCCACCTGTTCTTGTCAGTTGTGGTGAGCAATCGAAGCTCGCAAAGTGGGCTCTCCGGTTCGCATTATTTTATGTGCAATTTTTTACGAAAAAAAAAAGGCCACTCACAAAATCGACGATTTTATTTAAAAAACTCTAAGATGTGCGCCAAATTGCCGGTTATTGTTTGATCCTACTGGGTTAACGATGTAATTAGCTAATATAATAATCCTATCAATTTTAGGAAAATCGTTATTACGAGGAAAAAAAATTTGAACGATAGTTTTCCAACATTGTAACAAATCGAAGGACTTTTTAACAGCTCAAAGTATCAGGCAAGGCTCCAAAAAAAGAATGGTAAAAATGGCAAAAACAGATCTTTTTGCATCTAGAGGAAAGAAAGAAAGAAAAGGATTGTATAAAAAATACGTAATTTGAAGACAAACAAAATGAGCCACAGTGGGCCCCAATTGGTTTGGCCGTTTTTTCCCCAATTGCCAAAAACCGCCATTTTTGGACATTTTTTCTACAACTAATAACCTGCGTGGTTTGTTTCCAAAAAAAAAGTTGTTAGCCAACATAGGGCCATTTTTTAAACGCAATCCACTTCTTCTATATTCATTCTATATTGTATTGTAATTCCATTTATTTTAATGACAGTATTTAAAAACTAATTGCAAAAATAAGCAACACGTGTGTGACTCAAGGGTAAACTTTCTGCATTTGAGTGGTTTATTTTCCAAGTGGCTTCCTTTCCCAAGAGCTGCTGGTACCCTTTTACAGTGGCGGAATCCAATGACCCTCTTTTTCCGCGAATTACATGTTAAAATTTTATATAAAAAAAAATTTTTTTTATTAAATTGGGGGACACAAACAGGATATTTTTCAGGGAAACAGTCAAGGGAAATTTTGCTGTGAAAATGTCACTTGATTATAACTATTTGCCCTAAAAGATCAATTAAATACAATACATGTATACTGGACAATATTGAGGGCGAAAACAATCGAGAAAAAACTCCAAGTTTGAGTTTGCTTGACTTTCTATATGAACACGCGCTTTCGTCAGATTAGTATTTTTAGAAAAAAAATTAAAACAACATTACGTACGTCGTGTCATAAGTGAAAAATTTTTCAGTTCATTTACCGATGACGCGTATCTTTCTTATCAGCCTTTTAAATCGTACTTTTTTTTTCTTTTTGTCATTTCTTAAATTGTGCTTCTTTTTTAAACATTTTTTGCTTTAAAAGTAAAAAGAAGGTTTTACTTGGAGAATGACGGAAAAAAATTCCAGTAATATTGGGCGGATCACGTTGTACATCACAATTTTTCCTTTATCAAGTCTCAACAGAATAATAATCCTCTACTTATCTTCCTTATGGGCCCAAAATGATTTACCGAGCGCAAGGTGTATGCCTATATGGGCACAAAATTGCCCGTCTCGCCACCGGTGAGAATAACAACCCTTCAAGCTCAAGTTTGTACTGTGCGCCTTAGTGACGTAATTACGCCCTAATTTTAAGTATTTAGAATTTCAACCCCTACATATTCAGTTTTTTTTTCTCTCTTTTAAGCCACCTCATTATCAACCGACGTTCACTGTAGTGGAGCGATAGGCCTCTCTACGCTCGTTTCATGTCGTATTTACTAACTCCGCACATAAATATTTGAATAAAGAAACTAACATCGCGATGGCCAATTAAGTTAACCATTGTAACTTATTTGTACCAAAATCGTGACGTAGGCATTATAGTTAAAAACAGATAAAAAATTACTCAAAAGTATAACGGCAATCTTGAAAATCTATGATAACATTGTGCTTTTTGCTCTCACGTGAAATTTCTGTTCCATCGCACCGAAAATACAAAGCAGGTGGGGAGATTAATTTTTCAAGTCAACACATCATTATAAAGGTATACTACTCGACTTATTGTGTAGTTATGTGTACAGTTTAGTATTTTTCCGGGTGGCCGTTAACAATTTTTTCGATGCAAATCTCAATGCATGATTTTATTGATGTAACAATGAATTGGGGGTCATTGGGCACCGTTGGGCCACGGGATTTATTCAACACTTGGTGTACAATGCATGCAGCCTCGCGTTAACTGGCACCAGTACACCTATACACTACGCTGTGGTTCTTACCGTATTAATATTCATCGGTGCACGATTAAGACGAGCCATTCCTGGGGTGATGACCTCGATGTCCTCTTGGTTCCCTCCCGCGATGGATGGGCGTCGATCTCGGCGATGAACGACCGGATAACGCAGGAACGAGTTGACTGTAGGTAGATACTTGATAGAGGTACAAAAAGCGCGCACGCAATATTCCGCGCGGGAGGTGGCGAAGAAGTGGCGATGCTCAGGAATCACTGGCTCGCCAAGACTTTTTGCTTCGTTGCCCCCCTCCCCTCTCCCTCATTAGTACATCACGACCCTCACGTTTGATTCGTCCTCGTTACCGATACACACCACACCTATACTCCTCTTACGCCTTTGTGATATACTACATTTTGACATTTTGACAGTAAAAATTACCAGGCCTACAAACGACTGTATAGGTGTTGCAATGATACAACATTAATTTAGGCACAAGTAAAATAAACGGTGACAATTACAATCACCGATTTCGAGACGCTTACCGGTAACAAGCTACTTTCGTTAGAAAGTGTGCATATCTTTGAGTTGATTAAGTTTTAAAAAAGAGGGGTCGTGGGTTGGACTCCCATCGAAAGATATCGAGATATTTTTCTCGGGCTTTTTCGATGGGATGAGCACCCAAGATGTCAAAAATCTGCATCTGCCCGATTTTTCTGGTAGTGTCTGGAACTCCAGGGGCCTCCTATTCGAAGGAGAGCCAACGCCTGGCCAACTCATCGGGAAAAAGTCACTGTTAGCTGAAAAAAACGACTCGCATACTTGGGGAAAAGGAGGGTATAATCAGAGAGAAAAATAAAAATAACAAGATGATAAAAGTTAGGGATTCTTAGGATTCGTTAAAACCCTACTGCCATGGGTACAAAAAAGCTAATATATCCATTACACAATTCATGTTATCGTTTTTACATTACCCCTTACCTTTCACAGTGCACTCATTGTTTCTTAAACTTGACGCTTTAAATCGTTCATTCTGTTTTCTTCCTTCTTCTCTCTGTTACGGACATCACATGATGCTTCGTCGTTGATTCTCTCTCTCTCTCTCTCTCATGTTAAACAATAAAATAATAAACTAAGCACACACAATGGAAATTAAAATAACGCTAGCGCAAATTAAAAATGGCTCGGATTCTGGCACTTATGGCTGGGAAGAGAAAAAGTGTCTCCGTCACAAAGTACCATTTTCAATTTTTCAGATGCTTTTATGGACAAAAAAAGTTAGTGTTAAAATAGTTAGTTTTATTTTATGTACCGTTCTCTAATACCCATAAAATGCAATACAAGTAAGTATAATTAAACCTAAAGTTGGATGATTCGGGGAGAATGTTAGTCATGCACGTTTAAATTTTTTTATCTCAAAATTATCCAGTGGACTAAGAAAACTAATTTTCGGTCGTCTTACTGAAGCAGCACATTTGAATTAGCTATTATTTGTGAAAAACTAAGCTTTTTACACATACAGTGAGGTAAGATTATTGTGATGGTAAATTACTGCTTTACTCATTAGCAATCTTTTTAGTCAACCGCTCCATGTTTGCGTAAACTTGCTTGTAATTACTTTGTTCTCGGTTCCCATTTGTTGGACTTTTAAGCACTACTGTTTTACAAGTATACCACTTTTTTTTACTAGAACAGAAAGTTCAACCATACAAAAATTTTATTTTTTTTTTTGGATAACATATCCTAAAATAAGAGAAATCCAAGTGTAACTAACTATGTGTGCATGTAATTAGTTACCAGATTATCTTGAGTAAGTTTTGTCAAAATAACATCAAACTATGAACTAGGTATTCACCATAGATCGTTATGGTTGGCCATTGGAGAAGTTTTATCGAAAAAAAAAAAAAAAAAATTCTCAGTTCTTTTGCCATCGAAACCCGAAAAAACTTCTCAAAAATAAAACTTTTTTGTCTACTACGTTATTCATTTCTCATAAATCCATTGAATGCTCGTCAAAAAATAATTGAATATAGTTAAAATATCGATGTTTCGTCTACGTCAGTCAAAAAAGATATTTTGCGACAAAAAGTACAAAAATTTTAAAAACAAACGCGTTTCCAAGCGAGGCACATACATTTTGTCCCACAGCTCAGTATGTCCTCTTTTGACCTTAAAACTCGCGCGTCCTCCTCTTTAGCGCAGATCCTCCCCCCTACCGACGATATACACACAACGCCAACCTTGAAAAATTGTAATGTCAAAGATAAGCTGCACCCCCTCGCCGTAGACACGCACACGGATCATATACCCCGAGCATCACGAAAAAATGTATACCCGCTCACGTACATTATAGGTATACTATTGAATCGTAAGATCACACTTACGCGCCTTTCAACTGTGTACAAGGCGGGCGATCGTATGCGGACGGGTGGAGTAAAAATTCTAAAAAAAAAAAAAAAAAGTGCCTCCACACAGCCAAGGGGAAAAGAGCGTACGTTTGAAGGCGTGTAGGTGTGTGTATCAGGTACTGCCGTCACCACCCTAAAATACACTCCCTCCGGGAGGGTGGGATGAACACACACGTGATCCCGAAGCTTAGCCCTCTTGGGCAACTTATTTCACCGCTATACGTACATACTTACTGCCAAAAGATATTTGGCCTCGGGGAGACGGGAGGATTACTCGCGTGGATGTGTGTAGGTAGGGTAGAGGCTTAAAAAAAAAAAAGAAAAAGAAAAAGAAAGAAGTCGTTTCGGAGGCTGATACGCGATGTGGCGAGAGCCTAAAATGTAAGGCGTAAAATGTTTCAGAGATTTATTAACGCGACATCTGTGGCGTGGACAACATGACGAGGAAGATTTTTGAAAGGGAATGACTTTATTGAGAAAAAGCTTGTGACGCCTACGTCTTTGGTCAAACAGGAAGGGGGGGGGGTGTGAAACATGCACATCAAGAGATAATGTATACTCATGATTTTGTTTATTTTTCTTTTTTTTTCCAAGAAAAATAGGGTTTCCGAAAAAAGTTGGACAGCTAATAAATTGTTAATACATTTTTTATTATTGGACTAAAATAATGAAACAAGCCGTACAATAGATAATTTAAAGTAATTACTAAGTTGAAGTGTAAAATATTTGAAGAAAGAGTACTGATATTCTATAGATTATGTGAAAAATAACTGTTTCGTAAAGTAGTAAAATATGGAATGTATTTTACTTTGAAAAATTTGACTATTTTTTTTTTTTTTTTTACAAAAAATAAAATAAAAGTGGTACCAAAAGTTAAATATAATATTTTACAGTACCTATAATCTCGTCGTATGATTTTTTTGATGTAATGCTGCTCCATAAGATAATATAGTTACTGGCAAATCTTAATTTAAGCTACTATTAAAGTATTTGGTATCGTCAACAAAAAAAATTTTATAGCGATCAGATAAAACATATTTTATTTACATTTTACAATAAAGTAAAAGACAATAAAATATAAAATACTCAGGAATTGACCTTACAGCATTTTTTTTTATAAGATCAAATTTTTACTTTCTTACAGTTGTTTTGTACTTGATGTTTTGAAATGGTAGTTACTTTGTCTGGAACTCCAGGGGCCTCCTATTCGAAGGAGAGCCAACGCCTGGCCAACTCATCGGGAAAAAGTCACTGTTAGCTGAAAAAAACGACTCGCATACTTGGGGAAAAGGAGGGTATAATCAGAGAGAAAAATAAAAATAACAAGATGATAAAAGTTAGNTTTCTTACAGTTGTTTTGTACTTGATGTTTTGAAATGGTAGTTACTTATTTCGAATTTTAGAAGATATAGTTAAATATTTTTTGTTCATTATAATATACTAAAGTTGAAAATTGCGATCAAAACATGGTGTCCGAAAAAAAAATTGAAGAAGTGAAGTACGTTTAGGAAAAAAATGGCAGAAGTTACTACTACTATTATTATAATTATTTTTTTTTGTTCCGACAGGAATTATAATTGAAAACTGTAGCAGTTAACAACACTTCCAAAAAATATAATATCTAAGCTCTAGAAGAAAAATAAAATCGTTGGAAGAATATTATACTTATTTCATGCATGTAGTGTTACCATACTTCCCACCCATAAATTTGAAGAGAACAAAAAACCAGACTAGCGCATGTGCCCTCTTGTCTGATTGTAGAAACTGAAATTCTGAAATATCTGTTTGTATTAATAATTGCAGTATTCAAACGAAAATTCCTCCAAAACAACGAATACCTATTGGATTCGATTGTGTACAGCTGGTTGGCCTACACACCTTATTTACGGCTAGAACCATGTAATAACACTAGGATCTCGAGTGGGGGGGGGGGGGGAGAAATTAGCGTTGCTGTTAGAAAGCGGATAAAAAAATGACAAGAAAATTGTTATTGTTAGAAAATGAAGATGCGCATGCTTTATCATCTCTTATACAGTCCTGTAGAGTCTCACTGAGCCATTATTTTTGATTGTTCAATCTTAAATAGTAACGTTTGCTGCTTCTTGTTACAAACACACTTTTTATCGAAAGTTGAAAGGCACAACTACATTTTCAGAGTAAAGAATAATATTTCGAGTAAAAAGAGAGTATTCGTTCGTTTTTATCATGTACGTCTGAATGAATAAATAAGCTCAATGAAAAGTATCGCTTCTGCACGATTGCTAAGTTTATCATTTATCAAAAAATCTTTACTTGACTACGTGGAGACTAATGATACTTAGAAAAAATTAAAACAGAGATGTTTTATATTTAGCTAAAAATTTCAGTATAAAGGTCATTAAGAAGGTTCTGCCCAAAAATAAAAAGTGCAGTTTGATGACACTGAAAAAAATACGATCTTTTCAAGAACATAAAATGTGTGTACGAATTGTTTAAATATTTTTTTCAAGACATATTTTCGAGAAAAAAAATTATTTAATTCCACAATTTAACGTACATTCGTATGGGGTCACTACTTAAATTTTATTAAATGTAACTTTTTTGAAGATTTTTTGTGTGACTTTTTTTCATTCGTTTATTTTTTTTAACAGATAGTTTATTTTTAACTAACTTATTTGAAATTAGGAAATTTTTTTTTTAAGTTTTGATTTATATTAATGT